TTCTGCACTATTCTTCTGTCCTTGTAGCAGTTGTTCTAATTTGCTGTTAACTGTTCAAATTTTAAAATAGTTTTTTCACCAAAAATTAGAATATTAAATATGTCTCACTAAAAAATCGTTTTCCTCCACTTTTCCATTTTATGTCCTCTTATTTACCACTTTTTTTCATCATCTAGGTGTCAAAATATGTTGTGGAGTCCCTTGGTTAGGCCTCGTATAAGTCCATAACATTTTGACGGCTATATGACAAAAATCGTGGTAAATGAGATGTAATACCATGGAAAACTGGAGGAAATTGGTTAAATGCATGCATACACTAATATACAAAAAAAAAACATTTTCTTACAATGTAACTTACATGAATTCAGTGTATCTAGAATGGCTTTGTCTTGGTCTGCACAGTGTTTCAACATCGGAAGTAGTTCACTCCATGGCTTGTGAACATCTTGAGAAAAGAGATGTGCATCAGAGAAGCACTTGTTTACAGTCAACTCAAAAAATGTTGTCGTTGAACAACTCAAGCCTACGCGACTGGACCGAAAGAAAATCTGGGTAGCAATCATTGAAGCCGAGTTGACTCCATAACTTTATCTGACTAGTTGTGCCTGGTTTACAGCACGAACCTTCGTATGCAAGTGGGAAGTGTTGAAGGAGACGTTTTTTTTAATGCCTTCATATTTTCGGAATTGTGAACTGAATCATAACTACTTTGTTTTTCTGTCCAAAGACATGCATATTTTCTCGCCATTATTATCTTATTACTAGCGGGAACAATGAATTCAGAATGAATATTTTTAAAACCGCTTCATTGATTTTTACCCATATTCCTTTCGGTCCAGTCACATAGGCTTGAGCCGGTCGACGATGTTTTTTGAATTTGCTGTATAGAGAACAAGTATGCTACAACCCATAGCTTAAATCCTTTTCTGTTCTCATACTTATTCTATTCTGTTTTTGTTCCATCCAATACCTTTCTATTCTATTCTGTTCTCATACTTATTCTATTCTGTTCTGTCCCATTCAATTCCTTTCTATTCTATTCTGTTCCATTCGATTCCTTTCTATTCTATTCTGTTCTCATACTTATTCTATTCTGTTCTGTCCCATTCAATTCCTTTCTATTCTATTCTGTTC